TACTTAGTCCTTTCTTCTCGCTTTTCTTCGCTACCTTCTCTAAAAGTTCATGTAGTTTCCTTTCTCTTCATTTCTCAAGACTGTGTCATCTATACACTTCACATAAGAAAGCCTTCATATCTTTAAGCTTAAAAAACAGTAACAAGAACTAAGACTTCTGTATGAATCATTGCACTGACTGCGATAGATTAGCAAAGTTATATATATATATATTTTTTTAACTATTTCACCTCGAGCAAGGCGAGATGCCACTAATCCACATGGGGCGGGTTGCAGTGTGTAAAAGTGAGAGAAAAGAGTATAAGGAGAATTGACGAAAGGACAAAGGATGACCGAGTTTCAAGAAGATAAAAAAAAAATGGAGATTGACGTTGCATTTAAAACTTTGAAGATTGTAGTTGACATGGAAACAAGTAAACGGAAGAGAGTTCCACGGCCGGGAAGTGTGAGAAAACAAACTGTTGGAGCAGAAGTGGCGTTTGCATTTGACTGTTTCAAAAAGCCTCGTCAGAGCAGCTGCCATGAAAATATTTATAGAAAGGATAGAGGGAAGCCACGTCACATCGGTGAGAAATTGACTAAAATCAAGATGCCTGGTCAGAATCAATTACATTACAGATCCTTCTTTGCATTTTCTCAAGAACCTCGAGATATATAGTAGGAGCATCAGACCAGATACGGCAACAGTATTCAATGCACGGACGAATGGTAGATTTATAAATGTGCAAGATGGACTCTGACTAGAAAAGATTTATGGCACGACACAGTGATCCAAATTTCCTTGCATTAGATGCAGTTTACTACAAAGAAGAGTTAAGATACTAAAATATTTAAACACAATATATATACTCTCGACTCTCCCATCGAATTTGTTGTATGAGGGTCAAGCAGATCAGTTCCTAGGAACCGACAGCCCGACACCAGCACATGCGATTTGATTACAGTGGTGAAGGTTTTGTGTAGAACCACCCACATTTTTTTTTGAAGGCCGAATACAGAGACCTGGTGCACTACGTGCCACAAGGTATCTCCAAACGATCCTCCGCAGGTTTTGAATTCAGAATTGTCCTTCTCATATATATATATATATATATATATATATTGAATTCAGAATTGTCATTCTCATATATATATATATATTGAATTCAGAATTGTCCTTCTCATATATATATATATGTATATATATGTGTGTGTGTGTGTGTGTGTGTGTGTGTGTGTGTGTGTGTGTGTGTGTGTGTGTGTGTGTGTGTGTAGATGGGTGATGTGAGTTTGTGACCCTGGATTTCACGTTCTCTGCGATCATCAAATAAACTCTGACGATAGCAGAGAGCGTGAAATCCAGGGTCACAAACTCACATCAACCCAACTAATTATATTAGTTTTATCACTGATAATGAGCGCTTTCCAATTAGTACTGCGCATATATAATATATAAATGATATATATAAAAATTGCATATATATATATATATATATATATATATATATATATATTGATAGAGATTCATAAGTACAAATATAGGAACGATTTTATAGGCACGTTTTAAAATAGATGAATATATTGTGTAACGCTAAACTTTCTTCTCGAGAAAAATAAGTAGTCAATATTTCGTGTTTTGCCCAGACTGGAACTCCGATGTCTGGCAGCGGAAATACAAGCTACTGTCTAATTCGCTCGTCTGAGTTTTAAACCGATATTAATTCTACAGATAGAAAAGAAATGAATGAGAAACACACATACCATGATAATAGCACACTTGCATATGTGTGCCTGCTTATGAATGTGCCTGTGCGCGTGTGTATGTGCGCGGGGTTGGTCAGGTTTTGGCAAAGTGAATTGAGCCGATAACTTTTCAGCACCTCATTCCACAATGATTTATATTTCAAATTCAACCTATGTACACTCAGAGGCGTTTGTTAAGAAGGAATGTTTATCTGTTGAGTCGTCTCGATGTTGACTAGCTGAATAATGGTAGTGAATTTTTTTTTCTTTCTTTAAACAATACTCATTTCTTATTTCAAATAAAATGAAATCAGTCATTGTGATTATTTTGTAGCAACAACAAAAAATAATAATAAAATGATTATTCTTGATAATTTTTAAATATCTCGCGCAAGCGATCGAACCCGGGCAGTCAGCATCTGATGCACAATACCCGGCAAAAGCAGAACTCAGACACAGGAAGGAATTGATTTACTCCTCATCAAACGCGCGTATGTAGTAACCAAAGACCCAGCAGATTCATCATAAGCTTGTCGTTTTCATATTTTATTAATACAGGAACATTGAAACATTAGTGGGTATTATTTGGAAACGAATTAATTAGTGACCAAATACTCAGTTATTGGCTATAGCTCTAACCAACGTTGTTTAATATAAAAAATAGTTGATGTATATAAAAAATAAATAGTAATATTACGGACGATTGACCAGCTTTCTTAATACATAAGAAGTTGTCATTCAGCTTGTTAAATTAATGAATCCATAGATTAAATTATGCGTATTGATATGTTTGTACGTGTGAGTTGTGTGGATAACATTTTACAGATTCGAAGGAGAGGGCCTGTAGTAAAGTCAAAAAATAAAGTGCCCGATTTAATTATTTAATATAGAATCCTAAATTTCATAACGATTTGAAAAAAAAGGACGTGTCGACTGTTCAACGGCTCAAATAGTTACATATTTTCCAGCAATCAGTGTTCGAGCCCACTTTCAAAAACTGTTTTGTTTTTTTTTTAAACAGACAGGCTGTCGCTCACTTGAACGATTGACGTTGCTTACACCCTCTTCATCCGTACATTTCCCTCGTCTTTAATTGTAAAGCTAACGTTAGTAACTATCAAAATACAAAAAAACCGGGAGTAAAAAAGATTGTGTACGCAGGCACTTACATGGGCTTGAAAATATTTTCGAGTATGTCAGTAGGAAGGAAAATAGAAACAAGAACAGATCCAGAGAGACAGGGGATACTAGTTTTGATATAATGTTATATTTACGTGGTGTATACTATAATAAAAAAAATGATTAGCAATGGCTTGCGAGAGGGGCATCCAAACTATTGCTTTCTGATCGCTACCCTTTTAGAAACAAAAATACATGAACATATGTATACACTCTTGATCGGACTATAGATAGATAGATAGATAGATAGATAGATAGACAGACTAAAATCATAGTAGATAGATCGCTCGATAGATAGATATATTTTAAAACTCATAGTATATATATATATATATATATATATATATATATATATATATATATATATATATATATATATAAATAGACTAAAAAGCATAGATAGATAGATAGATAGATAGATAGATAGATAGATAGATAGATATTTATAGAGTAAAAATCTCATAGTAGATAGATAAATAGATATTTATAAATTAAAAGCTCACAGTAGAAAGATAGATATAGACTGAAAACTCATAGCAGATAGATAGATAGATAGATAGATAGATAGATAGATAGATAGATAGATAGATAGATAGATAGATCAAAGTGCATCGATGTCTCGTTTTATCTGTTTCATTCATAAATCTAGACTTGAATGTATAATTTCAAAAATTAATAGAAAAGCGGATCATTTGTGTACGATAAATTCGTTGAAAAATGAATACTACACATAACATATTCACATGAGAAAAAATGGTGGGGGATCTAAGAGTAATGATTAAATTTGGCTCAGCCCGGTCCGATGACGTATGGATCACACAGTGAGGAGATAACTCACTACAGAAGTAAATTCCTGCTATGATAGGTTTCTAACCACCACTACATACCGACTTATCATAAAACTCTCTCACACACACACACACACACACACACACACATATATATATATATATATATATGTATGTATGTATGTATATACGTGTGTGTGTGTATATATATATATATATATATATATATATATATATATATATATATATATATATATATACGTGTGTTTGTGTATGTGTGTGTGTGTTTGTATGCCATTTCCTCAGACCACTGGCGGACTCAGGACTTCCCATAAGAACCGTCGTATTTATGGAGTAATGGCGGGCACCTCGAGGTGGTGTAATGATTAGCAAGCTTGTTTCGCTAGAACATTTACGACTGTGAGTAGTGAGTTCGATCCTCACTGGGTGCCACATACTTTCGGTCTTGTGCCATATCTGAGCTACTCTTGGAAAATCGCTATATATGGAGTAATGTTCCTTAACCTGTCACGCCGCTTTTTGTAAAGAATTTGAAATCAAAAGTGTCTAACAGATTTGTCTTACTAAAGGAAGAGAATCCATTTTTTCCCTATGTTTTGTCTAGAGACAGACGATGTGAAAGAAAAAAAGAATTCATGCCCTTAAAAGGTGTTTAGCGCGAAGAGAACGCAAATTTTAATGCAAATAACCAGAGATTACTTAAATTATTTACATTATTATTCGGACTGTTATCCTCATCTTCATTGCCATATTAACAACGTTTCGGCCGTTGTATGCTCCGGCCTTCCGAATAATGTAAATAATTCTCTCTCTCTCACTCTCTCACTCTCTCTCTCTCTCTCTCTCTCTCTCTCTCTCTCTCTCTCTCTCTCTCTCACTCTCTCTCTCTCTCTCTCTCTCTCTCTCTCTCTCTCTCTCTCTCTCTCTCTCTCTCTCACTCTCTCTCTCTCTCTGGCTTCCTCGGATTAGAATGAAAGAAAGACAAAACAGTATACGAGGGGAAAATGTATTGGGTTGTCTGAGGATCTCAACGCATTTTCACTGACATTGAGCTTTTTCTTTTTTGTTTTCATTCTAACCCGAGGAAGCCAGATACAACAGACGCTTCTTCATTTTTGTTTCGGATACATCATACAGACACAAAGCTACAGATACAAATACAAAGCTGAAAGACACGTGTAATAGTTTGAATTCCCACAACTTTTTTTATTTAGTCAAGCATTATTGGTCAGTGACTGATAAAATGTGCTCAGAGGTGCCTCTAATTTTTCTTGACAATTTTAAGGTGTA